CTCTTTTTTTTTTTTTTTTTTTTTTTTAATTCTCTTTTAAAAAAAAAGAAACAAAAACAAAATTGCTATATCTGTATAAGCATGTTGCAAGTGTAGGAAAATGCTCCTAAACTTGTTTAATTTAGGGTCAAAGTGCCTCTACGGCACTTTGGCTCACTGGTATCCTTACAGGTTCATGAATCTATAACGGTTAGATCATATCTGCACCTGGGCACTCCCAAAGTAGCCACTCACTTGCCTCTTTGAAAGTGATAAAAATGTACTTATGTCCACATCCAAGATTTGAAAGCATCTCTTATGTTCACCTGTTAATCAATAAATGTAAGATCAGATCGGTGTTAATCACAGCTCATCCACTCAGCAGACTGATGTGGAGTCATTTTGTAATTCAGTTTATTCTAGGGGTACTAGCTGGCATTGTGGGTCAGCTGAAGGACAAGACAGTGGTGGTAGGAAGCAGCTGCAACTTCTATACTGGGTGAATGTAAAGGCCCAGTGAGGCCTCACCAGTGGATAGTGCTGGCCAAAAAGCAGAATGATTGGGGATTCTGCTACCTCAGCATTTGGTGAGGTAAACAACTCTGTCCCACCCACTGGGTGATCTATGACCTGATAAAACAGTATCTCTGCCTTCTGACCCATGCACACCTAACTGGTAAGAATATAGTCTATCATTAATTTCAACTATACTGCTCCATTCAAATGATTTGCAGAAGGAAGATAAGTAAAAAGCCACCTGTGTGTAGCTGAAAAATTGTGCAGAAAAAAGCTTTCAAAATGCACTGGAATTTCAATACACATTCTGAGTCAACATTGTTGAAGAGGACTGACATCTTTCATCAGTAAGATAAAAAAAAGTGACACTTAAAAACTTTCTGCAATTTTAATCTGTCCTAGTACTTGCTCCTGTTGTTATAATGAACAATTGGTGCACTTTATTTTTAGCTGCATTGCATAATATTACACTTAGGGTAAACTGTCAAACAACTTTTTTCCTCTTCAGCTGCTATATTAATATATGGCCCCATCAGTAGGGCACTAACTTGGGACGCCAGAGACACAAGCTAATCTCCTAGTCCATCTCATATAGTTCCAGATGATCCTGTGCCAATCACTTCAGCTCAAATACATAAATATATTTAGAAGTTAGGTAACCAAAAACCTTTGAGAAATGAGAATTATTCTCTTATTCTGTGTCCTATCTCTTAAATGGTGGTATGTCCTATGTTATGGAGGTTTTATGAGAATAAATGCATTAAATTGTAAGGCACTGAGATACTCTGATAATGGGGACCCTGCAAGTATGAGATATGAACATAACCCAATCTTCAAGCTGATGATCTACACATTAATCCCAAACCACTAAAGTGAGAGGAAAAACAAACAGCAGTAGTGTGGTTACTGAAATGTTAAGATAAATGAGCAACAAACAGAATGCAAATTCATTAAAAAGGATTCACCTTATGTGAGACAGTGGTTTAAAGACACTAAATGAAAAACACTATATAACAGTGAGGGGCCAACCTTTTTGGCAAGTGTGCCCCCAATCAGTCCTATATCACCCCCAAGTTGTGTTCCAATCCCCTTCACCTGCCTGATCTGCTGCTGCTTATTCCAGCCTTGTGTCCCCTGCCCGATCTTCTGCTCTGCATTCTTTCTTCACTTTGTTCTCTGCCCAGTTTGCTGCTTTGCTTTCTGCATCCTACCCTATCTGTTGCTCTACTGCCCGTCTCCTCCCCAGTGTGCTGCGTGCTACACAACGGCTCCCTGTACCACTTGTGCACAGGCTGGTCGCAAGGTTGGCCATCCCTACTGTGTACAGTAAGATGGTTCTTTTCTTCAGGCACAACTTTCTTTCAGATCAACCTGTAAATCGCTTTAAAGGAATGTGTGCAAGCAGGATATGAAGCTGAATGCTCTTTGATGGTTATGGAGGAAAGCTACGTGCTGCTCTTTCATGGAATATTTACTTTTGCTAAAATACAAGCAACAGCTTACTTAAAAGCCTATCACCTCACTGTTCAATGCAACATCCTCATTACCTGTGGGATAACTCCAAATGCCTTTCTCCACTGCTGGACACTGATTGTGTCCCAAGAGACGCCATCAATTTGAATGTCCCCTTCTGTATTCAGAAGCCGTAAAAAGGCAAAAAGCAAAGTGCTTTTCCCTGAGCCAGTTCTTCCTAAAAGGCCGACCTGTAATGGTAAAATAAACAAACAAAAGTAAATGGCAAAAAACTGCTTAATTCTGCTCACTTGCATATGAACCACAATTAAAGTAGTAACTCTAGCATTCAGAAATAGCACAACTGAAGAACTATTCATATAGCTCTTAACAGGTGAAGGACCTCAAAAGAGATAAGAAACACAAAGCCATATTGTTCTCTATTATTTTAGAACTGACTCAGTCAATTCAGTAACAGGAAAAGCTACTCCTCTATGTTTAATAATGTCCTTAAGATGATCAGCATCTACATGCCTAAAAATAATGAACTTGACTCTGATCTTACAGTAATTTTACAATGTAGTTTAACTGACTTCAGTAGCCTTGCCCCTAGATAATACTGGTGTCAGTGGATGTGTCTACATGTGAATATTACAACACAATAAACTCTGGCACAGTGTTTACATATGTGCCCAGGACAACAGCATGTTGAGCTGGGGCTGCATAGCCCCAGGTGGCAGGGGACCCCAGGGGCCAGCCTGCCAACCCAAAGCTGCTCCAACCCAGCTCAATGTGCTATGGAGGGAACGGCTGAGGCATGGAGGTGCTTCAGAGTGGGGCTAGCCAGCAGGCAGCCCCCACATTGAAGCACTCTTTTGACCCAGTCAGTCCTGTCAGGATGTACATGTGTGTTGTGGCTGAGTGAATTAGTTCACTCTGGCCTAATAACTTCACAGGTGTAGACCAGAGACACTTTATTGCAGTGCTAATTAGGCAACTGCAGTAAGTGTCTCATGTAGATACTCCCAGTGAGACCAGAACATGCCCCAATCTTATGACTGCAATATGTGCTCTGGATTCTTCATACTTGATCAGGCTGATAAAATGCCATATATGAAATAAAATATCAATTGTTTGTGACCCTAAAAGTTGTGCAAAGCAATCTCTTCTTTCCTAAAGGACTTCCTAATATTTTATATCAATGGTACCTCTCTGTGCCATTAGCCCACATAGAAATGGTCCATCTGTTGCTTTCTAAACTAGTGCAAACTTTTAAAATAATGAACAAAAGAACTACTGATTGCATCACTCCATACCTTATTCTTAGAGTAGATTCAGTGGCAACAGTTGGCAAACTTTGACCCTTTCATGGATTTTATAGCAACGTATTTTTTCATTGTTGTTGTGCAAACTGAACCTGGAGCTTCTACGGCAGATGAAAATAATACAAATTTGGGGGTGAAGTGGGAGGAATTTCCTGCTAGTCAAGACACTGCCTGTCAGGTGAATATCACAGCATCAGGCTCAAAGCTACAACTGACTCAAAAGGCATAGTATTTGCTTGGCTTCTCTTAGGCTCTTGATGGCTCTTTTCTCATGCTTGTTTTTGATTACTATCTTCATTAAGTGGATATTTCATAGTCACTTAAAAATCATTTCTGACTAGAAACTTTATTGCTTCCAGCACTATTCACCATTTCAAATAAAAGGGGTCACACCTCTAAAGCTGAATTTCTGAAGTTCTGAAACACCCCTGAATTTTTTAGTCATACCCATTATAAAAGGTCATTTGTTTAATTGTAAAAGCAGTTTCCCTCCATATCCCTGCAGTACACACACAGTGGGCGCATCTACACGAAATGCTAGGTCGCCACAGAAACGCACTATGGTGACACATCATTGACAGGCACAAACCAGGACCCCGCAGCTACATCACCATAACAATGCACTCCCTTGCTATAGCTCATTGCTATGGTGACACAGTTGCTAAAAATAACTGTGCGCCCCTGGCACAGTGCAGCAGGGGCTGTTACTGTGCCATCATTTACTACTTCCAAAAGGAAGACCCCAAAAGGAAGTACTAAATGACAGTGCAATAAGAACAGTGCCATGGGGACACATGTAGATGTGCTCAGTCTCCTTCATTTTAAGTATCCCTTGATATCGGTAGATTTTCCAGGAAGTATGTAAAGTGAAATTAACCAGTTGGTGGGAGCATCTACCTTCCCACTCTCTAGGAAGCACTTCAAACCTCTCTCATTCAGAAGCAGAATAGTTCAGCAGATGACAATTAAAAAATAATGTTTTCCTTTCTAAACTTTGGCTTCTCCGGACTTATCTGGAAGAGTCAAAGATGCTTAGCCACTGTAAATCAGTATCAGTCCATGGAAGATGATGGAGAACAACATTGTTAAAATTAAAGGAGCTGGACAGCTGTCCCACTGTGGGGCCCAGGGAATGCCACTGACCTTCTCTGTCACTATTTCTTCATCTGTGAAATGAAGCTAAAACTGCCTACATCTTTATGGGAGCCTTGACATAGGACAGCACTTCCGTTTGTGCTTCAGTCTATTCCTGATGAAGATGGCACTTAAACACAAACGTAGAGTCCATGGATTTCAGCAGGATTTATATATTTAATAATTAACATGTGCCTAATATTAAGTGTATCCTCAGGTGCTGTCCTGAAAGAGGATGCTGCTTCGCATCCAGGTTAAAACAGCTGTAAAGATGAGTTAAATGTTTATAACAGTCCTTTGAAGAGGCAAAGTGCCAAAACATTTTTATATGAAAATTGTATCAGACTTCGCTGGAGTGCTACATATATCAGGCAGGCAAATTGGTGTTTTCATTCCTCCAAATACTAGAGCTAGTGAAGCATTACTATTGGCATACCAACCTGTATTCTTTTGTGCCCTGTCTTACTTGGGTCAGCTTGTCCCCAAAATCTGTTTATTAGCAAACTTCCCTCCACGAAAGGAGGGGGAAAATGGAGAAAAGAAGCCATTATACTAGGAACAGTATTACATAGATATTTAATCAATGTACTTTACTTTCACACCCAGAAACATTTCATATCATACTTCTCTGAGCTGCAGAGCAATCTTGGAATTTTTTATGTCTTTGAGCTATTTTTTCTGCCTTTGTCTAATAACTTTGCAGCTAAGCTCTTATTAAAACAAACAGAAAATCTCTCTCTTCTTTTTAAGTGATTCAGATAAGTACTTTGCACTGGTGAAGCTATTTCATGTTCTCATTATTAGAAATCTATTCATCAGCCTATATTCTAGTAACTCAGTAGTCTCAGAATGAGACTTTTGGAGTTAAATTTAATTAAAGTGATTTCAAACAAGACAAAAACATGTCTCACCCTCTGTCCAGGACTTATTGAAAAGGAAACATTTTCTAATACTGTAGTTTCTCCATCAGTATACTTGGCTGTGAGGTCCTTCACTATCATTTGGCCTCCAGATGGCCAGACCTTCTCTTCCTCTGCATGCTTGTTTTCAATTATGAGGACTCCTGACAGTTGGTCATCCTTTGTTGGCTTAATACCTTTTGTTTCTTCTGTTGGCATGTCAATAAATTTAAATATACGTCTTACAGATCGCATCTAGGAATCAAAACAAACATCACTGAAGTTGTTGTTAACACAAGCAATGAGTCCCATAATAAAGCTGACGTTTTTGTGAGATGTAGGCTGCTTGCAGACATTAAAAAAACCCCAACACTTTACCAGAAGCAGCAGCACATTAATTGGACCTGGCTCTGCAGCTTCTGTATAAATCAGGCACTTCAGTGGGGCTTTTTGGAGCTCTTATCTAAACCTAAGTCAATCAGCTATTAGATAAAAGCACCAAAAAAGCCCCAATGAAGTGTCTGAACTACACAAACATTGGGCAAGCTGGGTCTGAATATCACACTGCCTCTTCTGTACATGTGCTGGGCTCAGTGCAGGAGCACACCAACTTTAAAGTAAGCACCATTCTGCCACTGGGGGTACACTTATTAAAAAATGTTGAAAATCCCTGGGTTACAAATTGCCAACCCCTGTCTTATTCCAGTTCTGGCAGACTTGACATAATGCAATTCCACAACTCTTCCACATTCAATTCCTTGAACATTTCAGTCCAATTACCTTCAGTAAATAGTCCCTTTATTTTAGCAAAACTTGCCTTTAAAAATCAAGAATTTTAGTTCTTCCCTTTTCATGTCCTTGTGACAAGGTATTTAGCAGAATTCACATATTTGTTGAATTGGACCGGCCACGCTGTGAGCACTTCTTCTATGACCTTGAGTTTGTAACCTCTGGATTCTCAACCATGCTCCTTAGCACCTGTGACATCCCAACCCCCAAGAACTGAACAGCTCTTTTATAATACACTCATAGCATACCAAAACTAAGTCTATAATAGCATCAGCTCTTGTTTAGTAAAGATATCTGTCACTTCTCATATCCGACTATACCTGGGCTATATTATTATGAGTACCTTTTGTTTCCCAATACATATTTGGTAAGTTAAAATCTATCATAATGATGTAATTCTCAGCAGTATTCCTCTCTCTCATAACATAATATTCTAACTACTTTGGAAGTCTATAGCAGATACTACACTGAAGAACCTCTTTCTCTTTTCCCCAAGTTAATTTGACAAAAACAGATTGTTTTATTCATTTATCACTTCTCCCTGCATCACAGTTCACCTTTTAATGAATATATATATATATATATATATATATATATATATATATATATATATATATATATATATATATATATATATATATATATATATATATATATATATATATATATATATATATATATATATATATATATATATATATATATATATATATATATATATATATATATATATATATATATATATATATATATATATATATATATATATATATATATATATATATATATATATAT